TACAGCGACGCTTAGGATCACGCAGTTTACTTGATTTTGTCTTGTACGTGCATCTATCATCTTGTGACATTCTGCGCAAATGTTTTGGTGTGAACCACAGTTTGTTCACACCCGATTCTAAAAATGAGCCAAAATCACCGGAACATCACCCGAGGGTTAAATGGAACCAGGGTGTTTTTCTACGCACCCTATACTCTCTTCACTGATTCGAACACTGTATTATCGTCTGCAATCGGTTGTCACGAATTCAATACAAACCAAATGGCATGCATGTGTTGTTTTGAGACCAGTGTACACAATAAATACTTTGTACAGTACGAAGTATACCAGCTGAACGCCGCTGAATTTGGTTCATTCATACACCTACGCTTCCGATCAGTAATGCTCGTGCCACGTTTGCGCCTAAGCCAGATAACGATCAACTTAATGGTTTTGTTATCTGAATTTGCCGTGTGCACAGACGGTGCCTTGGCACACCTACCTACGCAGCTTCAAGTAACATTCAAAACCGTGCGGTAGAGTAATTTGGGTTATTTAAAGTAGTTTGAAATTGGAAAGCATTAGAATCGGAGAGGGCAATATCGTCCGCATACACAATGTCTATGAACAAACGTCCCGGGAGCATTTAGACTCCCGAGGTTTCAGAGGCAGACAAAGAAAGTTTAAGTAGCACATCAATAACAAATATAAAGAGGAGAGGGCAGCCATATCTCAAACCACTGGACATGTTCATCTCAGGTGACAGTTCACCGTATAATCGTACGCGCCCACAGGAGTTGGCATACAGTGCTCCCATAAGGGATTTAAATTTGGAGCGGACACCTTGGATCACCAGACACCTCCAAAGCTTCTCACGAGAAAGAGTTCAAAGAAGATTTCAGAGCAGGAAAAGAAATCAACATGGGACGTTTGAGGCGGTGGGGCAGTTCAAGAATTAGCCGATGCATCCCCAGCCAGGGTGAAACACAGCTTGATTCTCACGAGTCTGTCTCTCCCGATAATCCCTCAACCTACGCAAAATAATACCAGAGGGCACTTTAGATGCAACGGATATCTGATATCATGATGGTTTTCACAATAAGTTCTTCAAGCCATTTTAGAAACTGAGATGACGGTGGAGGAGCTCCATTCGGCTGGTATTCTGTTTATGTACCAAATATTCTGCAGTATGGGCGTTAGGCTGTCCACCAAGACCCTTCCACCTTCTTTGAGGGGCGCGGGATACAGACCATCCGCGCAAGGCGCCTTGTCTTGTTTGAGAATTGATATCTTACACTGGATTTCTTCTGTTGATAGTCAGCTGGTGTTGTTGTCCCTTCTGGGTTCTTCCAGCGGTTGTACCGAAGCGTTCAGCCCATTGCTCAAGACAGTGATTGAGGGAGTAAATTGCTGTTCCGTATTTCGTGCATGTTGTTTCACTGGCACCTGCCACCTGACTGGTTGATCAAATCAGCTGAAAGAGGGTGCGGCTGTTGCCTGCAGCAAAGGCCTTCTCCATGTTCTTGGCCTCCAAAATCCACCAACGTTCTTTGTCATTCTTCATGCTCCTGATTATCTGGTGTTTGAGGGATCTGCGTGTGCCATCATAGTAGCTTGTTGTTAGCATGGCCTTCGTGGCCTCACTAGGATCTGATCTCGACTATATCCAGTGTTCATTTGGTCGAGTTAGATGGCTCGGAAAGATAGTAGTGAAAGCAATCTTTGTCCTCTGCACCACTGTGCGCTTCTAGTAGTTTTCTAGTCAGTCAGCTCGATGTTCTCAAGAAACCGTAAATTGTCGGAGTCAATGAACGGAATCGCTCTGCTTCGCATGAGTAATGATGACCTAAAGCGAGGCGATGGTGATGCCGACACCATTGTATGATCAGAATCAGACTGCGTACACCAGAGGGAACGAGAATCTTTACTTGACGCTCTCTATCAGTATATGATGGCCACATGGTCCAGCTGAGTCCGTGACTCTCTTGGGATTAATGGAACTTCAAGTAACTCGATGTGAGCGTTTCTGTTGGAAGTTCGAACTGTCCAGAAACAGACAATGATCTGCACGCAACTAAAACAGTCGTTCCTCGATATTCCTACACTAAGCATCGACTCCAAATCTACCACCCAGTTGCACGGGTATTCATATCGCCCGCCAGGACTACGCTATTCGCCTTCTTGCGGACCAAAGCAGTCACGACAAATCCTAATAAAACCTGTGCCTCTAAGTCTCAGCACAGAAGTGTGGCGTAAGTTGATACGACAAGTGAATACCGTTTATCCCATGGACCTGCACTAGTCTTAAGCGATCCAGTCCAATATGGCGCTTTCATACCTGGGGCTCAGTGCATCTCCCATAACGTAGATATCATGAGCCATTGCGTCAGGATCACTGGATACTCAAAGAGTTAAATGTGGAAAGCTTGAGGTGCACGACCGAACCGGGGGGTCTTGTATGTTTGTTTCGGAGATACAATATGTATCAACAGATAGGGAAAGCAACGTTCCCGTAAGGGATGCCGGTCGCCAAGTTTGACATAGAAGCGGATATTAAAGGCTGCAATATAGAACAAATCTTTTCAGGTTAGTAGGTGATCACTTTAATTTATTTTCTGGGTGACGTTTGAGACACGGAGCAGTGGCTAGGCGGATGGAAGATGGAATGTTGGCACTGCATCGTTCTACGAATGGGGACGGGGAAGACTAGTGAGCAAAGACCTGCGAGGGCAAAATGGATTGCCCGGTTGCCCAAGAAGACGAAGGCGGTTTGTTTGAGGTACTTCACCTTGAGCCTTCCACTCAAACGTATGGCCCGAAAGGTAGTGGGAGGATGTAGGGTTTTGTTCAGATACCCTTCCCCTAGCCTCTGACTCGAAATTCTGAACCGCGAGACAGCGGTTAATTATCCAAAAGCGTCGTCCGGTGCACAGTTTATCAGTGAACACAAACTTTACAAACAGTCTTTGTACTATACATCATTCTGAACACTTGTCTCAACTTTATCATACAAACAGATGATTATTACACACGCAAAATTGAATTTACGTGCCCGAAAAATAGGCGTAGGGTCGTATCCTCTTCCGTACAAGCATCTGAAATAAGCGCTTTATTCGTTCCGTCACTTTTGACTTTTATGCATTCGTTTGTATGCTCCTTCTTCTGACGTTTACTCAGGACGTCTGCTGTGGTCCATAGGGCATCATCGCACCAAATTGTTTGCCTTTGTTGTTTTGATTCACTTTTATTTAGAGGCTTGGGTTTATCGGTCAACAGGTGTGTTATCAGGTGTCAAGTACAACAGAAACTGATTGTAATTGGATAGTAACACTATGATATGCTCGAATATACCATTCATGTGTGCACCGAAATTTTTAGTGGCTGCTTTGGTGTCAATCTTTTATAAAAGGAAAAATATGGTGAATCGCCAATAGACGCCGCACTGGATGAGAACAGAACCTAATTTACGATGTAAATGAGCTATGCACTACTGCAAAAGGGCATCAGACAGCTGCGCAGTGCTTCCACGCTTTTCATTATACAGTGGCTTCATATACAGATCGAAATCTCGACTGAAACGTCCTTACGGCTATCTACACGACAGACAATTTATCGGCAGTTCAGAAGGAGACTAATTTCACAAGAGGAGTAAGGCCTCTGACTGATAAATTTTCGTGGGTAGAGGAGCAAGTGGATTCCGTTGTTGAGGCATTCGTGACGCTTTATCACACTGCTGTTCAGGCGTTCGTGGAAAAGTGGTTAAGAGTGCCAAATACTAGGCAGGCGGTCGAGGATTAAAAACTCTCCGGAGGCTTGTAAGACGCATGTTGATGATGATTCCGAGTTGCAGAGTGCTTTCCGGATTTTCATTATAAATTGGCTTTATTTTTTAGAAGAAACTTCAATGTAACTTCCAAAATTTCACAACCTATGATTTAATTGTCTGATTGGCGTTTCGTTGTGTATTTTCTGCTTTTTATGGTGGAATGATAAATAAATCTGAAATATTTGAACACCAAGAGTAATTTTATTAAGCAAATGAATATAAATAGATGGCTAAAGATAATTAAAATATAACGGTAGATTCCAACCTACTGGCGGATTGACGAGGACTGTTCATGTTCCTTTTCCAATTTTGCTGGTAACTCTCAGACACTTCCAACTGCCACCCTGCACAGTCAGTATCATATTGCCGAAACACCATGGTAGTCATTAAGCGAAAGATTGCGGAAGTTGCGGGAATCAAATAAATTACCGTAGAACCATGGCTAAGTCGAAAGTCCATGAAAAAACTAGATGAAGGCTCCTTTCTTTCATAGGGTTAACGGCTAAAACCTACTGTACTATCAATACATTGGAATATTCTGTGAGAGAAGAACTACCTTCAGTTGTTTTTTTGTTTCTTGCTTGTCGAGTGTCCCATGTACATGCGCCTGGCTCAAAATATGAAGTACTATCTGCCTGTCTTTTGAACTTTGATGCTGATATATCCACTGTCACTAAGGCGCCTTCATCCAGTTCAAAGTTCCACTTCATACGGGAACTATCTGTTTTGCAGAACGCAAAACGTAGAAACTGTTTCAGTCTATAAAAGTTCTTTTTTTCAAGTATTAAACATTTTGCCACATTCCCTCTCTCATCCTGACATTGGGTTTTTTGACGAATTGTACTTTGCCTCGCCGAAAACGAATAAATGAAGTGACAGTACCAGAGTCGTATCTAATTAAGATGGGGCTGACCGTGTTCTACCTACTCATCATAACGACCTGGTGTGCCAATGCCAGAACCACTTTAACTGTACGTTATGCTCTAGTTAGGCACACAGTTAGTGCCCGATCCGCTGGTTCATCCGTTAAATGAAGCATCATATACATGGATACTAACAAGACGTCTTTTTTACAGCACGAACCTGAAGATGCGCGCCAAAAATACGAGGAATTTAAGCTAAGGTATCAAAAGTCATACGGGAGTTTTGGTATGAGTCCACAATTGTATAGGCTGTAAGCTGTTTCGTTTTAGATGACGAATACAGATTTGGGATTTTCAAAGACAATTTGGTGCGTGCCAAGCAACTTCAGGATGCGGAACAGGGTACGGCGGAATATGGTGTGACACAGTTCTCTGATTTAACAAGTAAGTGATGAGTAGATATAAATGAACGACACCATGTTTCACTCAGGCGAGGAGTTTGCAAACAAGTACCTGGGAGTGCAACTCGATGAACCGGCTACAGAAGAGGAAGTCGATTCAGAAGATGTGACAGTGGCTGATGACAGCTTCGACTGGCGACAGCACGGTGCTGTAGGACCGGTGAGGAATCAAGGACGATGTGGATCATGCTGGGCATTTTCCACAGTCGGCAACATCGAGGGTCAGTGGTTTCTAAAATCGGGAGAACTTCTCCAGCTCAGTGTACAGGTGAGGTTATTTTCTTGATCAGTTGGTTGTAAACATCATGTCCGTACCAAGACACTTTTGGTGGCGGACACTATTTCGACACCTGCTGACATTTCTCCTAAGACCGCGTAGTTTTGAGATTTCCGCCACTGAAATTGGTTGTTTGTTTTATTTTGACCTTTCAATCCAGCAAGTCCTAGATTGCGACCATGTCGACCACGGATGCAACGGTGGCTACCCTCCACAGGTTTATGATCAGGTGAACAAAATGGGTGGTTTGGAACTTGATGCGGATTATTCGTACAAAGCATTTGCTGGGGGTTGTCACATGGACCGTTCGAAATTTAGAGCCTATGTGAATAGTTCAGCCATTCTGCTACGAAATGAACAATTTCAAGCTTATCAACTCAAGAAGATTGGCCCACTTGCCTCTACTCTAAATGCACGCACCCTGCAGGTAGGTGGATAACATCGTTCCACTTCTGGCATTTTCTATACCTGGTTGTCTGTCGATGAGTACGCACTGTTCTTCCAACAAAGGGTCCTTTCCATCTACTCTTACTCTTCACTCGAACCAGTTCTACCAGAAAGGGATTATGCATCCAACACGCAGTGCATGCAATCCAGGACAGCTGAATCACGCTGTCCTTACTGTTGGCTACGGAACAGAACAGGAAATACCATACTGGATAGTGAAGAACAGTTAATGCATGCAATCCAGGAGAGCTGAATCACGCTGTCCTTACCGTTGGCTACGGAACAGAACAGGGAATACCATACTGGATAGTGAAGAACAGCTGGTCCAAAGGCTTTGGAGAGCAGGTTGGTTGCTCACGGTTTTTCTTGTAAACACGTGGAATATTGAGTTCTGTATCTTTGAATGCCTGCTTGTTTAGCTATCTGTGCAATCTAAAGAGCGGTAGCGGGTGACCGCATATTTTATAAATATTGGTCCACAGATGGTGAGGTCAAACAGTATGCAGCTGTTTGATTCTCTTCGTAAAATTGGTTCTCACGTAAATCTCTGGGTGATTCAAACTCGGCCACGAGTAGCTAGCTATCATTATGGATTGAACAACACACAGGCGGTACAAGTCAGGTGATCACGCACTTGCCCACCAACAATTCAAATATGAGACCCATGTTCTTGTGGGATTTCTTTCTGAGCAGATTGGTTGGAGCTTGCAGGATGTTCTATCGATTGACAATATAGGCATCTAAGATACATCTAAAACATGAGTTTTGTTAAAACAGCTTTCTGAAAATGTTGTCACCGAGGTAATTCGGTTTTGATTTTAGTTGAAAACCAGGTTGGTTTCTTTGCAGATATTCAAGGGAATCAATCAGATGTCGGGCACTCACTTCTGTTTTGAAAATTAACTGGTCATTGTCCCTTAACTTTCAGGGCTACTTTCGAATCTTCCGAGGTGATGGAACGTGCGGAATCAACCGACTAGTTTCCACTGCAATTCTAAAATAAATTGACTTTCCTTAGATTTTCGGGTGTATTTGAGCATAATGTGTGATTCAAATACATGGCATGTTTGTCCCTGTGAATTCCGTTCCTGTTGTTTGACTTTGGCAAGTTCGTTGGAAGGTAGTTTGCACATGTTTGTTGCATGGCACAGCTCGTGCGATTTTTGGGATTGCAGTGCAGATAAACCCGAAACGTAAAACACCATGCTTTGAATTCACCGGTGGCACGCCAGCATATGGCCCAATCGACATTCCTACGAGTGCTTTTCTAGGAGTAGAAGTGATAAAATATGAAATATCGTGGACAGTGAAATGCTTGTAAATCCGCCAGTAACACACAACAACGAACGGACTGTACATGCTGAAATTCACTGTCAAGAATAATTGTACTTGATTTCTGATGGATACGCCTACAGCTGTCCTGTACTGCACGCATGCAGATTAGAGTAAGCCTGTGTTTGTGCGTCTTCTTGGACAATGGAGTTGTTATGGTCATGACAAAGACCGAGCGAGTTTTGGTTTTCTGTGTGAATTCCACTTTGAACCAAAACTTTGATACTATACTGAGCAAGAAGGGATATGGGACAGCATAAGGCTCATCGTGGAGCAATTTTTAAAAACAATAAGTTTAAGAAATCTGCCACAGGGTTTAAATGAAGCACATCTTTTAGAATGATAACCTTTTTCCTTAGTGGTGCTCACCCGTGTGTTGTCGACCGATTTCATTATGCAGGTGTTTAGCAGCCACTCCAATTTATTTCAAGTGGAAAGAATAAGGCTCCTCTTATGTTGTTGAGCGCATGGTTACCTTCCTCACACGTTTGCTGGTCGTTCTCAGTTAGTGTGCGCCGTTTCGGCAGCATATAACGTAAACTGACTGTAGGTTCGACTTGCTTGGTTTTGTACATCTGCCTACCTTTGAGAGGAAAAGCTCGTTCATCTGCGGAGCTGCCTACTAAGACCACGAACAAAGCGGTTATGAGCCATCGAGCGCGAAAGAAGAAACTTCATTTACACAGAGATTTGAGTAGGTCAGCAGCACAATGCGTCCTCCTGAGCTTTCATGGACGTTGTTTGAATGTTCAGACTGAAAAACACTTATAACACATTTCAATAATTTCTAAACCATGTTCCCGTTGAATGAAGGGCGGCGCATGTTCCGTCGGCATTAAACACCATTAAACCACAAATTCGTTACTATGATTATTCAGATGTTTGAGTTTATTCTAATCGAATGTCACACCCGAGAACCCAAGGTAAATAGTTTCGAAGTATTCGCGAGGATATCAAAATTAGGCGCGCCACCGAATCTCACTCTTTGGTCGGTGAGAAGATTCCACCGGTTTGTTGAATGGATGCAAATAACTCTAGCACTGCCGAAGTTTGTCGTACAGGACACTAGTAATATCATCTGATGCAAGAGCACTGGTGGTACGACAATCAACATGCCATGGGAGTGAAGGACTTATGTAACATCCAACATAGTTGGTGGCTACCACTAATACGATTATGACACTGTTGCATGCAGTAGGTACTCCGTGAGGTTGTCGTGGAAACGTGAAGCTGATTTTATGGTGCCATCAGACAGACTGTCATCTGATTAAAAATCTGATTGGTGTCTTTCCTTACCGACGTGCGTGGTTAGCAGAGCTACCTATCGAAAGATACAGGCAAGGCCATAACAACTTAACGTTTTATTCAGGTATCACGGCTTTGAGATGGAGAAGAGAGTGGCTGGGCTGATATCGTTACTGATACCTGAACAGTGATTGAGAGAACGCGATTTTCAGGTATAAGCTAAATGACGAAACGATACTGTACTACATCACACAAAATTTCTACCACAATCCCAGTGAATTAAGCGTGTCACTTTTGATTTTCAGACAAACAATTGTCGGCCGATACAAAATGATTGCAAAGAGCACTACTTACAGAGTCACTGAATGTAAATTCAAGGGAGTTTCTGATCATTCAATTGAAAAGTGGCTTCAGCAGCTTGGCGAATTTGTTGAACTTATTTAAAAGGTGCATGGTATTGCACCAACAACGTGGTCGAATAATCACGCTTAAACCATCGAAATTCCCGCATTTAAGACTGTTAAAACGACAACTTTCCTGCTCGCATTTCTACAGACAACATAAGTTTAAATGCTCTTAATTTCATTGTATTTTTTGAAATTTGAACACACATTGGGCAAATCACAGGGAATCGAAAGGCAGACAGAGTGAAACCTTTCAAACCGCGTTTGGCACCTACGCTCAACCGAAGAATTCTATGCTAGTTGGCCAACTGTCCAAACTCACGATAGAGAACAATTTTACCTAAACAGCCAAGAGAACTTGTCCATATCTGGTCTTTTATACGCGAAATAACCGAATGTGGGGAACGGTGATCGTCTCGCTATTGGAATTGTCTCTGATGAGGTGTTTCTACAGGTCTTGTGCTGCTTAAAACAAGAGGATACACACGAGACCGCCGGTTACGGCTTTAATCTGCGAGAGCCTGTGTAGACAATACTTGCGCAGCCTTTTTATGATCATTTTTCTGCAATGGTTTAAACGTTAAATTCCTAACATTCAGAAAAAATCATTCATCACGAAATTTGTTGAAGTTGGACTCTTTTGTCACATACTTCAAACTATCTGGTGGATGACGAAGCTACCTTTCAAGAAGAAGTTCGTTCTCTCCGACATTTTCAAACAGGTGTTTTGAAAATCAATTCGAACGGGTACTCATATCGCTCCATAAACATGACCATCAAATGGATAACAGTCATGGAACTCTATGTTGTCCCTAAGCGATAATGAAGCACTTAGTTGAAATTCAATCTGTTACCAGCCTAAATGAGTAGCCGTATCTACGTCAGTGTAACAGGTGCGCCCTCTCTATAACTGTCGACTGATGACACTTACTGTACCAGACTAATCAACTCAAAGTTACACACGTGTCTAAAAATACCCATGTTATCCCAGCGAGTACGGCAGTGAAGCATCGATGTTGAACACTGATGTCATTCTGTCGATGGTGATGACGATGATATCCCAGCGAATAGTTACTTTCCAGGAGGCCCCATCCAGAACGTACAGTTTAAAATATGACCAATCAAGAAGATAATAAAACAGCAGATTTAGACAGCCTTCGCTGACTCGAAAGTGCGGTACCTTTTATGTAAACTCTTATACGTGTCGTCAGCTCACACATGGTTGTTATCAGGTTCAGGTTATCAGATTCAGAAGTGGTTGTTTAGTACCGAAAATTTGGGAGTACAAACGTCAGAGTATAAAATGCAACAATCTTGTTCCTATTCCGTTTCCATTCACTGCACTTCGTTGCACAAATCATTCCACATCTGAATTTTAGTAAAGGGTGACTGTTCCTTTGGTTTGGGGTTCTCAGAATATTTGAGATTATATGAATAAAGAAACTTTTTTGCGAATGATCACAGAAGTTCTAAGACCTCTAACGTGCCTTTTTTGAGATTTGTTACTTTACTACATCGACTTTCGTTTCGGAAGCCCTCATACGTCTATCGAGACGCGAACACGCACATCACAAGTTCTGACATCCAGATGAACTCATCATGGTTGGAAAGTGCCTTCAAGCATGAATCTCGTTTCCCGTACTTAACGGTTCATCTCCAGGTGTCAATGTGACTTATGCACTCACTGCGTTGCTGTCCTTATCGGTTTAATGTAACTCGGAAAGAACCCGGTTATTCGAAAAAAACTCTTTTATTCTTGGGTCACACTCAGTGCAGCAAAATTAAATGAATCAATAAGAAGCTCAGAGGAAGAATTTTTTTATTGGATGTGCGAAACTTCCTTCTGACAATTCGTCAGTCGAGGAACCACTGCTTTCCGTGATTGAGGAATGAGTGGTGCCTTGTCTAATCCAAGGGAAGGCTACTCACAATGCTGATAAGGAGCTTGTGGCCAAACCGTTAGGCGTTCAACCACTGACCAGAAGGTCGCGGGTTTGAAACTCTGGGATCTGTGGGACGCGCACTGCTGGTGATTTCCGGCAAGGATCTAACAGCTGTAAACTATTTATCGGTTTTTCAGCACAGACTGGCTTCACGCACGACGTTTAATTTGAATGAAAAGTGAAGTGTTTTAAGCTTGGAAAGAATTCCATGCATCTGCCGCAATAAAATATCAGTTCCTAATTGATTTTTAATCGTAGCGAGAACAGAAGTGGGCTGCTAAAGCCATGTGGCAGACTTCTGCCTAGCCAAGGAGAACGAATTACGATGATCTGCTCCTTGGGAATTCCTTTCTGTTCGAAAACAACAAAAGAAGACTTGTTACTGCTAAAGCTGTTCACGCTGACCCCCTATTCACTGTAATTATTCGGCTAATTAAAAACGAGATGATTATTCATAGGTTATATCTACTTAAGCCTCATCCTTCGGAAATTGGTTTAGTACTTCTAAGTTTCCGACTTTATCTTACATCGGTTATGAGAGCCATTCATTAGGACTGTTAGTAGAGAAAGAACTAACTGACTGACAACGACCAGTTTATCACGCACGCTCGTGAAATCGAGGCTATAATCTTTGAAAATGGTGACAACAGTTGTGTTTATTTAGATGGCAGGTACTTTAATATGTTTATAACAACTTGCATTAGATATTGAAGTTTTCTTTATCTCACTTAATACACCAATCAGTGATCTTTATTGCGGTCATATTTAATATCGCCCTTCTAAGCAGTTGCTTTTCAGCCTGTAAGCTACGATATCGGTAGAAAAAGCCTATGCCGATAAGCTACATGACATCCTATATTGCAGCAATGTGAGCAAACAACGGGGACACCAGAAGATGGACAAATGTACCTAAACAATGGGCATGCGGTCAGGATCCTAAATTTCTTCGTATTCATGTATATATCCGATAATTCACTTGAAATGTTTGCCCTGTTCTGTGCTGACCATTAGTCTAGACCATCGTGTAAATGTTCTGCCGCTTCATCGCAGTCTGAGGTTGACTAGTGAGCATTTGCAGAAGCTTTATTTTGTGCCTTCACAAAATGATGTCAATGACAGGCAAGTGATACGATAAGCTGATTTCGGTTTGCACAAAAAGACCTTCAGGTCTCGTAGAGACAATGGAAAGATGGTAATTTGTTGAAATATTGGTAGCTCGGGTGAGTTCATTGGTTGTTGATCAGGTGGCTGTTGATCTGTTCGCCGTGCTTGGCAATTGGCTTGCAAACGTTTCGTCCCTAGTCGAGGAGACATCGTCAGTGCACAGTTGAATGGGTGCTTCCTCCGTGCCTCTTGGAATTCCTTTTGGTGAGTTCAGATAACAACAAATTTCCATCACCAATATTATCAGGAAACAACGAATTGAACGTTCTTTTCCAAATCGCTCAGGAAGCATTGGAAAAATGAACTGTTTCATGGATTACAATAATAAAGGAAATTTAGTGGTACGTAAAATAACTGAGATAACTGTAGAAACGTCAAGCCACGAATCATCATCCTCTCAGCGGACGAGGTCAACATATGGAGGAAGCAGTGTGGGATGGAACCACAGCCAGAGCAGTTGCGTATTAACTAGGCATGTGATGCTGGGATGAACAAACTGGGTTGAAACAGGTAATCCTCACGAAAAAGAAGTGTAGGAAGGGAGGGAACACAAACTTGTGCAGTTGTTGCACGAACAGAATGAATCCTCAGGTAGGTTAGCTAACCAAACGCAGAAAATATATAGCAAAACAATTTTTTCAACACGAGGAATGCTTTCTGTAGGTTAAAGCTGCTGTGATAAGGCTTCGTACTTTCAAGATTCCTCCCGTTCAATTTTAGCTGGGAGTCTCTATTTGCCCTTTTCTTATCACTCTTGTTCGTTATCTCACTCAGCTGTTCCTTCCACCAGACGCAGTTTTATGTGGTGGAAGTCTAAGTTGCTGCACTTGGGATATTTCGATGTTTGAGGCACGAACGTACTGGCCATAGGTTCGCGCTTCGAATCCAACATCTGCATTTCGACTGCTCCTGTTCAGGCTTAGGCAGTATGGCAGTATCTCCACTCTCGTGTATCCATCGTATGCTGGAGGAACTTGGCATCGAAAGTGCTTCAACTGCATGGGGATCACTTTTGAGGTTTGCAACTTGATAGAAAAAAACTTTGATATTTGAAGCATCCATCCAACTGATTTTTGAGTCCTACTTGATGCTGCAAATCTGTTGAAACAAACCAAGGAACTAGGATTTCTTCCAAAGTTTACGCTAACACAAACAATATTAGCTTACATAAGTGATTTATTTGGCCTGAATTCTTCCCAGGCTGTGTGAACAAGGTGTTGTTTATCGGATATGAGTTCCCCTTCTGTTCTGTTTACTAGATGCCGGAGGAATGAGGGTGCGAAGTCTAAATTGACTGAAGTAAGGGCGAAACCGGTCGTGGGCTGTCGACGGATTTTCAGCAACCTTATGAGTAGTACATTGCAAATATACATGACTGAAGTAAACATTCAATGCATATTCTACAGTTTATGGGGATTTCAGCACATTTCATGTGGCCTATGTGACGAGCGTTTTACCATGACTCCACCAGTGCATGCTGGACAAGGTTAAATTTAGAACTGTGAACAAGACACAACGTACTGTTCACAAGGATGCTGAAAATCTTCAACAGTCCACGACTGATTTCGCCCTTCTTGGGTCTCGTCAGGTAAGCGGAGTCCCAAAGTTTGCATCGATCTTATGTTTCACTTGAACCCAAATTGCTCGAAATTCGACGAACACACTCATTTGCTCTTTAGTTTGGTCTTTGTTCTAAATGAAGCATCGGGCGGCCTACTACAGCACATTCAGTTGTTTATAGACATCACTAAAGAGAGATTCATTTGGATTCCAGCCGATTCTCTCGTCAAAACCAAATGAATGTAGTTCGCTAACTGTGGAGAAGCATATAGTTTGGTATCTAAGCGAGGTTTTTAGTAAGCCCAGTTTGTCAGATGCTTGAGAGCTAAAGTACTTCACAAGGACAAGATCGGATTTGTTCAGACGAAAATGATGTGTATACAGTTCCAAATCTCCGCAAGAAGTAGCCAGTAAACTAAGCACGCACTGATCAAAATATCAAGTGGCTTTGCAGTGACTATATATACATTTTCATAATTTAAACAATGAGCCGTTATCTGGCTTTGAGTCGTTCAAGCGGATTTAGTCAACTTTGAGTTTTGAAGTCATGGGGACCAGCTACAAACGGAAAAAAAGATATAGCGCCAGATGATTTCACTGAAAATTCAAAGGTCCAGTGGGGTGTGAACCATGAACTGATAAAAAACAACTAAATTCCAGCTAGTTCACTTTCGAATTCGGTGGAACATCTAACATTTTGATGACCTTTGTTGCTTGCTTACAAAATAAATGGATTGAAGTGTTCGGGTCGCGTTACCTGATAATGCGCATCTCCACCTGTTATCTGTTCGCTCTAGAACTCTGGTGCCTCTGCGCCAGAACCATTATTCCCGTAAGTTTTATCATGGTTAAACCACATAAATTAAAATATACATCAAACTTTTCTAATGTCACACAGGAAAGCAAACATTTTCCAACGGTCTAACTGACGTCTAAATTTATTGCATATGTTCCAGGAGACAGAAAATGCTCGACAACTGTACGAAGAGTTCAAGCAGAAGTACAAAAAGACTTACGTGAATGACGGTATGCTTGCACAAACTGTTAACGCATTTATTTAGATGACGAATATCGATTTGGCGTTTTCAAAGATAATTTACTGCGTGCCCATCAACTTCAGATCATGGAAAAGGGCACAGCAGAATATGGTGTGACTCAGTTCTCTGATCTCACAAGTAAGATGCAAGGAATATGGAAAGGATAGATTTCAACCGTCATTTAGGTCAGGAGTTCGAGACTCACTATTTGGGATTGAAATATGAGGGCATGCCAGACACTGAAGAATCGTCTCCACGTAAGCATGTTGTGATGGATGAAGACAGCTTTGATTGGCGAGATCATGGGGCTGTAGGCCCTGTGCTGAACCAAGGAAGCTGTGGATCGTGTTGGGCGTTTTCAACAATCGGTAATATCGAGGGTCAGTGGTTCCTCAAAACAGGGGACCTCCTGCGACTCAGTGAACAGGTATGTCCCCATTCTAATACGAAGTTAAAAGTAGGACGTTTCAGGATTTTTTATTGTTTTCACAAATAACGTGTGACATAATAAGACTGTGAAGTGTTCGCAATAGAAGCCTTCATTCTTTTGTTTTACATCTTTCACCTAGCAACTTATTGACTGCGACAGCGTGGACGAAGGATGCTACGGTGGTTATCCCACCAAAGCATATGGCGCAATCATTGAAATGGGTGGCTTGGAGTTGAATTCTGATTATCCCTATAAAGCGTTCGCTGAAAAATGTCAGATGGACAGACAAAAGCTTAGAGTCTATATCAACGACTCCGTTGTCTTTCCACGAAGTGAGAGCTTACAGGCAGAAGTACTCAAACTGATGGGACCCCTATCCTCCGCTTTAAATGCTAATTCTTTGCAGGTTAGTAAGGTGAACATTTTTGATCCTCACTGTTTTTGGGAATCCAAAGGCCAATGGTGACTCAGTGTTTCCTGTTTTTCTTTTCCCTCAGTTTTACAAGTCCGGAATTGTACATCTTCCAGTAACGTCATGCGTCCCACAGGCCCTTAATCATGCAGTACTTACTGTGGGCTACGGAACAGAGAATGGACTACCGTACTGGACGGTGAAGAATAGTTGGGGTACTGCGTTTGGTGAAGACGTAGGTTTTGCACAAGAGTTTTGCAAATGCAGTCAAGCATCTACCCATATTTTGGTGATGACGTCTCATGCTTAAAGTGCTTAGGCTTGCAACGTGTGTCCGAAGCGCCCAATTTGAGTCGAGTTTAAAGCGAAGGAATGAGTTAAAAATTTGGAAGAACGAAGGATCATTAGACTAACTGACTGGTACTTTTGTGACTCCGAAACAACAGTGTCATGGTTAGCATACTATTTCCGCTGACTAATTATGTCAACCTATGCTCACTACGTGACTATCTTAGTCACCTCTTCACTAGCATGACTAGCTGGCTGATTGATGCCGATCGAAAATAGAGTCCATTATATTCGCCATGAGTTTTGATGTTTTACATCTCCTTCAGTTACCTAGCGTCGCATTCGTGTTTGTTATACTGTTCGCTCAACTCCGTGCCCCATTTACCTTTCTTTTCCAGGGCTACTTCCGTATTCATCGAGGTAGTGGAACTTGTGGAATCGACCGCTTGGTCTCTACTGCCGCGATCAGATAGACTGAATTCCGCCCTCATTTTACTGTGATAGTTTGGAACGCCAAACTTCTACCTAGAGAATTTTGTTTTATTTTGCGGAAAATTGGGCGATCCGACTTACGGGTAGCGTGAAATGAACGAACTCCTGTGAAAAGTGATTGTGGGCAGACAACGAGCAGACAACCGGTAGAACTAGAAAAGTTGGAAACGTTTCACAAACCCGAGCAAATCTGAACTTGGCTAATTAAAAAACAGTCATCTATATCTTGAAGGGCCCCTCCTGGTGCGGTTATTTTAGTGAGTCCGCAACATCAAGAGGGGTTTCGCTGTCACGAGTTTTCATCAGCAGTGCACATCCTGGTTTATGTTTAGACTTGAACTCAGGACATATGCGATATGGAGCGAGGTTGTAACCAGCAAACACTGAAAGCTCCTGAATTCTCTTCTCCGAAAAGACAAACGTTCTCGTGGGCCCATTTTATTGGTCTCTCCTGGTACTAGTAGGTGATTCGTTGCATTAAAAGTGGGTCACGAGTCTGAATTCACGGTCTGGGTGAGAGGGTTCGTGAGATATCCTCGCGATAGTCGCAACCACTTGTCATATGGTATTTCAACGTAGCCATGGTGATCTCGTTGAACTGTTTCGGCGTTTGGTTTACTACCTTCAACGAATTGATTTAGTGACTTCTATTGGTAATTTCATGTAAGCCAACTGAAGACAATACCATGGTAGGAAGATAACCACTCGATGAAATTATAGGGGATCTGAAGATCCTAAGCTGGACGGTGTACCTATGGCACAAATACAGTCACCATATCTCCGTTCTGACTACAAGACTGAGGAGCGGCTAAGTTTCTGGCAAAAATTATCAGCAAGAGTTTGTGCACATGACAGTCGTTTCACACTTTCGTGCATGTAGTGGTCAAAACTCGTTAAGCTGTCGTCTCGCGAACAGCGTACGCATCAGAGAACCAGCTAATACCAGAGCAATTCTGGAAGATATTATTTAGGGCGAATTTTCCAAGACGCACTTCAGTTTGATGTGATTAAAGACATTCAACGAAAAGGGTCATATGTTTATTCACCTGCTGAAGCTCTCATCGACTTTTGGCAAACTAGAAGGAGCATCTGGTTTCCAGGACCACAAACCAGTTTTGGCTGTACACTCGTTTGCAGCTTAACTTGGTGAAAACGATGGACTCGACCGACTATCAACAAAACCTGCTTTTAACAGTATTCAGCTAAATGTGTTGAACTGAGACCACCTCGTGTATCGATCGAAGCTATATCAAATTTCTCGAAGTATTTTTTCAGAGGGGTTTGGTAAACAATCGGTGGATTTATTGCCGGGCAACGTTTCGCTTTTGACACAAAAGCTTCGTCAGGCCAAGTGAGTAAGTAAGTAGGTTGATTGGGTTTTAAGGCAGTCAGGGAACCAATCCGTGAGATTCATTATGACTAGTGACGTGATCAGTGCTGAGTGTTCAGTCTGATGTCCCTGTTTGTTGATTAGTGGGGATGACTAAGCTTTACGATAGATTGGTTTGGGGGGTTCGTCTTTATGATGAACCCGGATTTTTTCGTCCCTGCTTCTTCAGTCTAGGACACCTTAATGGAAAATTCCTCTTGGGGTCGTTCACAGATTTTGTTCACCTGTGTTCGTCCAAGGGTGCTGGGACAATTAGTTTGGCGATGGGGTGGGGTGGTTAATTGGATCTAATGCTACTTGGATTTTTGTACTTTTAGACCCAGGCGATGCCGCTGATAACTGCACCCCGCCTCGTGTCATCTCAGCTGATCTAAGACCGCTTTCCACACGTATGCAAGTTCTACCCCCTCTACTCTATTCACACTGAGATTCTTGGTGATTTCCACCGCCTCGGCCACCAGTCGCTGTGGTGTGAATCTTAAACCTCGTCTCAGGATGCCCACATTTTCTAAATCTATCCTATGCCCAGTGTCTAGAGCATACTCTGCCATTGCTGAATCTTTGACTAACGCCTGGTATTCATCTGCGTTTCTCGGTGGTTTGTTAATGGAACGCTTATGCTCACCGATTCTGGTGTGCAATTCCCTGGCTGTCTGACCTATATAAACCTCCGTACAGTCGTTACATTTTATTTTGTATACACAGTTCCTAGTCCTATCAACCGGAAGGCGATCCTTCAAATGCACCAAAATCGAGCGTAAAGTTTTCCCCTTCTGGAAAGCTACTCTAATGTTAGCCGTATTCAGTACCTTTCTAATGACTTCAGATGTCCCTGTTTTTTGTATGGAATGACCAAACCCCTCTGAAAAGATGACTTCCCAATCGGTCCCAAACACTTTCCAATTCTCGAAGTATTCTCTTTATCCAAAGCTGTTTATGTACATTTACCGGTGGTATCTGGTGGTATCGTATGCCAAGTTCCCGAGTTTCCATCAGTATTATTTGTAGGCAATGTGAAGACAAGAAAAACTGATCATTTTGGTACATCTTCGTCTTGACTACGACCGGACGCTTGTGAATTGACGAAGTTTGCCCATCACCTGTTCGAAGGTTGCCGGATTTCTTGGTGCACTAGCCATTATCTGAATGCGTATTCAGAATAATGACATTCGAGACACGGCTAAGAGTCCCCAAACAAGGATATGTAAGACAGTGACAAAGGATGCTGGATATGTTGGACGACATGATAGTAAATCCGTTTATTTTTGCCACAAACTATACTTCAGTAATACAATCTCTCTTGGCGCTGAAAACTAGCCCTTCAGGTGAATCAACTAAACACGACAGGTTCATCTTTAATTGGTTTGCTATGTGAGAATGTGGTCGTTTAAGACGTAAGAGACAGTACAAACTTCACAACTATAATTAACTCTTCTCTGGGAAAACTCGGACTAAACAATCATTGGTGGCTGAACAGTCAAAAGGTTTTGGGATCCTAGGGGAATGCTCTTTAGGCCATCTAAAGACTTAATCAGAATGGTCTGAACTCCGCCGATTATTTGTCTGAGGACCAAAATATCTGCGCACAAACTGAATAGCTGCGAAGCACAGTTTACCAGATTGTCACCAGCAAAAATACAAACAGATATACAAGAAACACGGATGTTGAATATAAAGCATTTAATCACGTGGCACATGGAAACGCTGGAGCGCTGATACAAGGTATACTTCTGTATTGCTGCCTATGTGGAAAACTTTTATTTCGTTACAATTATAAATACTACTGAACTTCCGCTTGAAGAGTAGAGTGGTCAGGTAATTTAATAGTTCCATCCTGAAGCCAATCTACGCTGAAAAGCCTACATATATTGTATAGCTGTTTTACTCTTGTGGGGAATCACCAGCATTACGTATGTCACGAAGCAATAAGAGAGGTTGAACACCTAAGCGTTTGGCCACGAGGGCCTGATCAGTAGTGCGATTAGCTCGAACTTAGATAGAACAGCACCATTCATTCTTGAACCACTGATTCCTCGACTGACGAATTATCAGAAGGAAGCTTCACATCCAGTAAAATTATTCTTCCTCTGAGCTGTTTATTGATTTATGTAGTCTAATTGCGCTAAGAATGACTTATACGTAAAAGCGTCCATTTTGGAATCACTAGGTTCTCTTAGAGTTACGTGAAACCGATGAGGATAGCAATGAACTGAGTGCGCAAATCTCAGTGATATGAGTAGATGGAGCTCCTCTGCACCATTGGTTAACAAAGGGTGAATGGTCATAAATGCTATCCTAAAAAGGCTAGCGCAAATATTCGGTGCGCTTGATTACCCAGAACGTATGAATTCATTAGAAGCTTCTCTTAACCATCTATAGGTGTTCTAGTATTTCTCCCAGTAATTCCAGTCAGCTCTCGATTCAGATTAGGTTTGTGACCACAATAAGACATGCCTAACTTTGAAGTGAATGTACTTTGCGTCCTTAGTTCCTTGAGGTGAGTAACATCGTAGGAATGCCACGATGGGATTTTACTCATCAAACAGAACTGCCCAATTCTTAGCTTTCAGGGGAATATCTGTTATAACACTACTCATAGGTTTGATGACAATTGTGGACAATTCACTACACATCCTTATGAGAAGCATCGCGGAATATGTGGAATTTTTTCTATTAAAAATATGTCCAGGACATTAAGGTGAGGAAAACTATTATCGAGAGAGGGACTTGGTTAATTTTCAGCTAAGCCTGCCGTCAAAACCAACTTAATTTTGAAATGACTGTTTATAGCAATTTGTTTCTGGTTAACTTGTGAGACACTTAAGATAGCTAAAAGTTTAGGCAGTTGCAATTTCATGAGCTATCTGACTTCTGGTCCTGAATTTCTGCCCGTCGTAGCCGAGAAGCCTGCTTGGTCCATCTACCGTTTCCTCAAAATAAACAAACAGAAGCTCATCCATATAACTGTTGGCCCTGTGGATCTCTACATATCCATACTCCTTTTCTGTTTAGACACAACTTACTCGCAGGTTCTCTTTGGTCAGACATTTATCAACGGATTTTGGCCCGGTTTGAAATAGTTTACCATGTGCAGCTGTTGACCCGTTTCATTTCAGTCCCATTTCGAACGACCGGCAGACTAAATGTCGTTTGTTTTGTTCAGTTTTATGCCTTTCCGTTACCAGTTCTTGGTAATACATCGAAATGTTAGTGGTGCAGCTGCATTAACGGGTTGTCGATCAGGTGGCTCCCGATCTGCTCGTCAGGCTTGGCAATTTCTTTGTACACGTTTCATAACCAATCATGGCGACATCAGAAGTACACATTCAGGTGAGCAGTTCCTACCTAACTGCCTAACCTTATGTAGTTTACACGATAGTAGTCGACAACTCTCGATGCGACCGGCTGGTTAAGGAAGAGCTTCATGATGATTTGTTTGTCCCGTACACGATTGGCCTCCTCCGAGCACGAAGATCGACTATAACGATACTCGTATACAAGCTCAGGCACGAACAAAGAACCTTCAGTTATAGAACGCCATCAAAAAACGCACTAAAACTGACTCAGCTAGACAGCTAATGAAGAAGAAAGAACTTCTGGCCTACAAAACTCGAAACCGAACTAGATACCAGAGGAAAGCGTGTAGAGAAAACAACAGAACCTAAAGGTAGCAATGCAAGTGGTTCGGAATTTGTCTCCAGTCAATAAATAAAAGGACCGAAATGAACACAGAACGGCATCGGATTAACAAACCAAGTGCAGAGCTCAGTCAGAAGGCGGGGGGGCGCAACCAACAATCGAATTCAACTAAACCGCCAAAATTAACGGCAAATTTGGAAGGAACCAATCAAAATGCAGTAACGAAACCGATAAATATAGAATGGATTCAAATAACCATTCAAACAGAAGAGAGGCACAACACAGTAGCAAGGCATGTTATCGAACTAATCAGAGCCTACCAGAAGCAAGCTGTCCAATGAACCAAAAAGTGTATCCGGTACACAACACAACACAAACAGTGGACTGATATCAGGGCAAAACTACTGCTCAACCAATCAATCACATCATGAGGTATCAACGCGTGTGGGTAAGGAGGAATTAACCATTAGGCCGCGCACTAATGATGTCGCCAAGATTGGGACGAAATATCTACAAGCTAACTGCCAAGCTCAGGGAGCAGACAAACATTCACCTGATCTGTAATTAGTTAGTTTTAGTTGTCTTCTATACTCTACCGAGTGATTGTAAGAAATTATTTAGTCAGCTACACCATGAGCGTTTTACATGGAGGCTTGATTGAGATGGTGTATTTCTATATAATAGCCCATTGCTTTTGATATTTGGTGAATATTTGCGAGGACGGAATTCGCTCCCAAAACGTCATCTGGTTTTCAGTATAGTGGGACTGCATTCAACATCCCCAGAATGAAACCCGCTGGTGCAGTTTGTTGTGATGCTACACCACTGAAGATCTCTCCAACTAAGTTGCGGTGCATAAACCGGTGAGTGTAGGAAGACGTGAATAAAATATTACCTTGGCTATTATTGTCCTTCCCCTATCCCCTTTCGAATATTGTGGCAGTCCGATACTAGTTCACAGAGGTTCATTAGCATGCTAGAATTTGTTCAGCTGTACGACTCACCTTTTTGTTAAAACAAAGAATGCTAATGTGTGATTTGAGTTTGTAGGCGCACGTTTGACGGAATACGGGACGGCGCCTACGAAAGAGAATAAAACCTGTCGTGGGCTACGTAACGAGTAGTCTCCCTCAAGACTTATAAACTACACATTTGTTCTAAAAGGTATGTATTTCACGATCAAAGTGGGAACGATACGCAACTCCACTCAATGACGGGATAGAACATACTCCCATGAATTGCCGCATTGCCCAAATAGTTCCACCATTACCTGTTACTGCCATATAACTAGGATACTTGAAGTGCGCGCGAAAGTTGTGCGTGGATTTTCTATCTATTTCATCGATAGTATTCCAAGATTGTCAGTTCTTTCAACCTGAACCCGAATACGGAAACGTAATGGCAGGCGAAATCGTGACAAATCGAACGCACCTCTACAAATATGTAAGCTTAGATTGCGGATCATATTCATAAGTGATTGGTGTGACCCGGTCACGGAGTTCAATAAAACAAAGTTTATTGTATGAGATTAGACTTTAGCCAAATTGTTAGAAAATCAAACGAGGTTTGGTAGATTTTGGAATAAGTAGGCCATGTACACACAGCATGCAGGGAACGACGAGCTTGGAGATGACTTGAACTGTCGGCCTCATTTGGAGGTAGACTTCCCACACATTTCGACCAAGACTCTGGTTATGCAAACAATTTCATCATCGGACTCTGTGGAAATGACACAAGGGGTTCTATAGTGTCGCTGACAGATATTAACTGCTGCACAATCGGTCAGATCTGTGGCGCATCAACTGTGATGCGCCATGTGCATAAGCGTGATTAAGTATGAGCAACTTTAGAAGTTCAACCGGCCCATACCCAGTACGCAGGATGTCAGCTTCTAGTACACTGATGCTCCCTGTACTCGGAATTCTCAGTTCCCTGCTTTTTGTTTATGCGAAAACCCAAACTGTTTTCACTTAGGGGCGTGTAACTTGGTATTAACTCCTCAGGAATGTCAAGCGTTTTTCATGAGTCGAATCCGGCATTTTTGTCACAGTTTCTTTTATGCTTGAGTAATTACAAAGCCACGTAGAGTAGGTTAAAGTGCTAGTTTTTCAGTCTCTGGTAGAGTTGTCCTTGTTCCTACTGTTGCTCTAGGCGGTGGTATACTCGTATTTCAGGTGTTGTTGGTTGTGGAATTTTGCGGAATACAAAATAACATGAGTCTGTTTTGAACATTCGTCCTCCTGTCCTGGCACAATCGTCCTGGTGAGTCCACACTGAAGGGGGAAGCACTGGACTAGAGCTCATTAGAGCAGTGCATTCCCAACGGCCGGGAATGGTACGCCGCACATCAGACAGGCGTGCTAGGCGAGCGTGTCACTACTACTCTCGCGGCAAGCATCCGAATATTTTGCGTCTGAACAGTTGAATATATTCTTATACGATCCGGATATCCATCAAACTAAAGTGCCTCATTGTGAGATAAATCCTCGGAATAGTTGATGTTTCTTTGTTACTGTGAAAAGGATGCGGTGTTGTTATAAAGCTTTACCACTAGATAATACCAAATCCAGAAAGCAGACTACCCATTGGATATTGGGTGGTATTGGATATCACCCACCCAAATAGTTTCAGTCTAAACATTCTACTGTTATAATTGTACACAGGTATCGTGTGGTCCAACAAAGTTAGAATACCAATCCGCATCGGATGCTAGCGAATTAAATTTTGGATTAAGGGTATTGTGTGTGTGTGTGTTGATTTTTCTCCGCTAGTTTTGATTTTTCCCGAAAGTCCAAATCCGACATAAAATTCAGTTACCTTTTATGGGATGACAGATTATGAGACATTTATGAGCTGACTCACTCCCTTCCATCCACCATTCGGCACAAAATGGACTACACCAAAGCCATAGTAAAATACCACTCATAATTTGCATCAGACTGGGTGGTTTTAAGTTCTATATAAGTTTAATATATAAGTTCTATATAAGTTTAATATTTAAGTTCTATGTAAGTCCCCATATTCGATGCAATTTTAATTTCATTTTACCTTTTTCACTACATTTTACCCAGTTATCAACTGCCATAGATTGTACCAAAAGACTATCCGGTCACCAAAATCTTTTTAAATAAACTGTGCTGTTTCAGCCAAAGACGTGAATCCAAGGGTTCTATTTCAAACAAAGGTTTTATTCTCAAAAGCTTTGTTTCATCCTGTGAGGTGAAGATTTTTTTCCGGTTCAGAGGACGACAGCGGAAGAACAGACTGTATTGATCCCACACGTACCGTCACCACGATAAATCCGAAAGTAGCCCTGAGAAGGTCAGAAGAGGGGAGTGTTACTTGAATCGTCCAATATTGCAGGAATAAGAAGTCTAGCAGGCTTCATGATGGTAAACAGACGAAAAATGATGTGACGTTACCACCGAGGATAATCAATTTAACCGTGCGGTGGTTTGCCGGTTGAAAAATACATCATTGTAGTTTAACTGGCATGCTTTGCCCCCAGCACACTTTCACCTAGAAGTTACTCATATCTACGAGCTCGGGCATTGGGTCACCCAGCATCATTAGTTTTTGTTTGTCTTACTTTCTCTCCCCAGTTCTTTCCCCAACTATTTCGGACGATCCAGTAGGGCACATTGTGTTCACTTCCGAATCCAACGGACAACACGGCATGATTCAAACCAGATGGGGGGCATTCAGAGTGAGTTGGATGCATCACACCGGAGATATAGAACTGGAATCAACAGGCAAATAATACAAGATACAAGGATGAACTTCACTCCCGCTCACAATGAACAGAGAAAAGTAGCTGATATTCCACCAGTTCGGTCTTGATCACTGTTAAAAACAGTTCCCTTAAATCCCGTTACTTGAGGACAACCTGGGACGTTCTACTAATGTTTGCTTCATTTGACAAGGTTTAGGGGACGTTTTACAAAAAAGGTGAGCAACCCATCACCAACCAAATATGGTAGAAGGTAGAGTGTACGACGCCTTTGGTAGGCAGCTATGGTAAGTAAAGCCGATAGATTTGTGTCCATTTTGTGCTGGCTTAAAATTCAGCAATGCATACTGCGGTATGACGCAAAGAAACGATGAAAGGGGCAACTACACGCAACACTCTTACCTAATTAGATGTTTGGGTTTACTATAACTCAGAATTTGCTTAGTGTAGTGGGGTCACTAACAAAACGTTCATAAAACAAGGTTACTACCTGGAGGTAGTCCGCATTGATGCCTGCACTCAGTGGACCGTTCTTCGCAAGCCACACAGCCTGCTGATTTTCTTTGGTTGGCAGGACCAGGGATTTATTGACGTAAGCCTTGAACTTTGACCGGTCCATCTTGCACACACCGTCGGCTGCGGTGTACGGATAGTCGGCGTTGAGTTCAAGGCCACCCATTTTGACAATGTCACCATAGGTGTCCGGAGGATACCCGCCACCACAGCCATCGTCTACGGAATCACAGTCTATCAGTTGCTGAAAATGAAGGACCAGTCAAGTTTTAATCAGGTTTCATTCGTACAAGCAGACATCTTTCATTGCACAATTCTTAATTTCGGCGTATAATTTACCTGTTCACTCAATGTGAGAAGCTGCCCGGTCTTTTTAAACCACTGCCCTTCAATATTTCCTATGGTAGAAAATGCCCAGCAAGAACCACGTTCACCCTGATCCTGAATGGGACCGACTGCTCCAAGTTCCCGCCAGTCGAATTTTTCGGGGACGTCACCCAGGCCATCAAAACCATAGAGTTCCGCACGGCTGGTTTCAAGATGGAATCGAGCTCCCAGATACCTGAGACGAAACTCCTCAGCTAAAAATTAGTGTGCATTATGCACTCTCATTCTGAAACGCATTCATACCTGTTAAATCGGAAAATTTTGTGATCCCGTAGACTGCGGTCCCTTGATCATGTTTCCGAAGGTGTTGAAGTCGTTTCAAGTTGTCCCGGAAAATCGAGAATCTTAGTTTGTCATCTAAATGGAGGTTCTAAATACAAAAATTAGAACATGCCTTCGTTCTCGTAGACTTTCCTAAAATTCAGTTTGAACTCTTCGTACAGTTGACGTTCTATGAGCTCCTGTGAACAGTGAGAAATATTTTAGGGGAGTTAACCCGGTGTTTTACAATGAAAAATTTGTTACTTGAAAAGTATCAGTTATGAGGAAGCCTAGAAAACAGACACGGCCTAAAGTTTTGCAAATAAACATTCCGAAGGTTGATAGGAAACATGTTTACCTGGAAGTTGGGATTCGCAGCCACAATGGCGATACAAATAGCACACAGCAACAGAACATTTTTGTTATTCATTTTGATACTTTTGTTTGACTTCTCTCTACATTGACTATTTATGCCAGTGTTAGAGATCAAAGGTAAAGTGCGACAAGATAAACTCAAGTAGAAAACTTGCTCAAATACAAATTCAAACATCCCGACCACCTAGACGCCAACTGTTTATCAGAAGATTAAAGTCCGATTCAGGATCTCTCTTGAATTTGCTAGCGAATAAACATGTTAACATCAGATACAAATTGCTTAGAAAACAAACCTTATCTGTAGTCGCCATATGATATTTGGAATTTGAACGATGAAACTTGAAAAATTCTCTGTATCACTGGTCGAATTAGGTCATATTAATCGAGTAGGCATTTGGTGAACTGTGAAATATGCGAGGTTGTTAACTCGTCCACATCTTGAAGCACTGACTTGTGGCTACTACTGAGAACTCAAAATGAAGCAAAAGATTTGTTGATTAACAGACGAAATTTTTAAAATAAAACGGCAGTTCTGTTGTTCTGAGTGCTAGAGCCGCTTTGACGATCAAGTCAGCTTCTTGTGGTCAAAATGAGCCAGAAGACCAGAAACGGAAATATCTGGAATGGTCAAAAACAAGTGACAAGCTTTATTTCAGTAGAATTGGTCAAAAACTTCTTTTAGCTGCGGTTTGTTCATGTACAACGCTCACACATATTGAGGTCTGGTCATGCAGCAAGGTGGCTGACGCAGGGTGTGGTTTTAATATTCATCAGCATTTATTTCAAGGCGGGGGATACGCCCACTTCGAGTTTTTTTTTCAAATTACCCATGAGGTTTGGACACTTGAAAAATTCATGCGTGCTGCTATCGATGGGACCGAATAAAATAGGTTTGGACGAAACGAAATATAAATCAAGCGCCCGGGAACGCATTTATCTCGCAATTACTCTACGAAAACTGATTAAAATCAAAGGGTTAAAGTGATTTTCAAGCGTGACCTGTATTAATCAATAAGTTTGGAACATAACATACTGGGAAAATTTGCTTCGGCTGCTTGTCCGCAGCTAATAGGCCAACTTCATTCTGACTCCATCCTACTACTCGTTTGCCATTCTATATAAGTCTCTGTTCCCCGACATCCTTTGGTACCTGGGTCGATTCTTGGCTATCTTCAGCTCCGCAATCGATCTGTCCACCGTCTTCTTGTGACGTGGATTATCGATCTACCATCATCTGGAAAGTTGCACGTTATGACATGGCACAACACAGTACGGGTTTTATAATGACAGACTGGCTGATAAAGATCAGTCATTTTTTCGAAGCTTTGGACATAATATGTCGAATTGGCGGTACCTAGTGTAGGAAGACCACCCGCTTACTCTGAGACCAAGAGACCTCCCGCTCCCACTGAATCTCATTTCACAAATTTCATGCCGCTCACACCCTTCCTGTCTGTCTATAGTGTTTTCTGTCTTTTGGTCTTGTTTTCTGTGGATGCCATGAGTATCCTGGTTCGTTTTGAGGTTTCCAAATATTTTGATACGTCTGACACGTCATGAGGAAGTGTTTGATCCGATGTTACTCACCCATGCACCCACGACCCTTTCGAAGCCAGTCCAACATCATTCATATACTCATGATTTAATCTACCTTCCCACACTGGAAGTAACTTCGCCAATTCTACCCACTTGTAACAATCGTGAACCTGTCCTAAATCACCATGGAAAATTAATCACTCGTTAACGATCTCAGGAGTGAAACAATTTCCCCTGGTTACAAACGTGAGCCATAGACAAAAAGTAGGCCGTTGCACGATACACCAGATGTATTTTATAGTGTCTCTTCGGGTGTGTGCTGCAGCATTTGATATTTTACTTGAATTCGTTGTGTTTAGTTACCAAAAACTCAAACTCTAGGTGTATGGTTTTTTGAATTCACTCGCTTTACTGGGCTTGTTATACATGTCCATATATATATATATAATATATATATGAACCATCTATCAATCCACCATGCAATATTTTAATGCCCACTTGTCTATTCATCTATCTCCCTATCTATCTATTTACCTATTTACGTATCAACCCATTTATTTGTCCACTATCTACCTATCCTTGTATGTATGTATGTATGTATGTATGTTTGTATGTATGTATGTATGTATGTATGTTTGTATGTATGTATGTATGTATGTATGTTTGTATGTATGTATGTATGTATGTATGTTTGTATGTATGTATGTATGTATGTATGTATACATGGATGTATGTATGTATGTATGTACGCATGTATGTATCTCTGTGTGTATATATCTCTATGTATCTGTCCATTCAACCAGTTGTATCCACACATAAATCCACAGTGCATATTCATTTCAACACGAACGCATAGTAGAAATGACTTTCGTTATTGAACGGATTCATCTGTGGTACCAAATTCCCCTCATTTATACTCTGTTAAAAAACACAATCAAATGATCGCGCTTAACTATCCGCAGACTTACTGGGAGAAAATCCCCTCGAGATTATCTAATCATCATCATCATCATCATCATCATCATCATCACCATCATCATGGAAAGCATGAAATCAGTGTTCACCACAGATGCTTCGATTCCGCGTGCCCATAAGTTGTTTGAACGACTCACTATGAAGAAAACAATAAAAGTGGATGGTGAAGGGACTTAGCGCTAGCTTACCACCATCATTCCGACGTGCATACACCTTCAGACAATCACTCAGGCAACCTAGATGGAAACTGACGACAATAACGCCATTCGCATCGATTAGCAGCCATACCTTTTGGCGTCTTCATGCGGTCTCCATCCTGGAAAGCGAGTAGCACCGAAGATGCCCAGACGTTTCGTGATATTCTTCATACCTCTTTGCTAGGTCGAGGGTTGACCATGTCTCTGCTTCCGCTACTCTGAGATGGGCACTAAAAACAGCACTGATTTTGGGAAACAGTGGTCCAGTATACACCATAGATGGCCTAACCGACATAGCTTCTGGAGCTCAACATACTTCCTTTGGGAAGCACCCATTGCACAAAAGAAAACTCGCTTTATAATTGCCTCATCGCAGACTCGCTGACACCAACCCACACGTGCTATGGTCGTGAGACAACGACTATCAAAGACCTGAAGAACTCTCAGTTCCTCTGCTCGAACAGGCCGTCTCGCAGCCATACAACAAACAGCCCGCACTGTAGCCTGATACACACGTCCCTTGAGACTAAGGTGTCTCAAATTAGCGAACACAACCCCAGCGTTGCATATTCGTGTGACTTCACCTGTCAAAGTACACTCAGAACTGATAAAACTCCCAAGATACGTAAAACGCTTTACAACTTCGAATGTCTATCCTTGGCGTGTAAGTAACGTGTCCAGTGACCGAATGTCCGGGAGCATGACTAAATTTTGTGGGTACAAAATCGAACACCAAAGGACGGATGACTCTGGTTTGTTCATCAAAAAACACCTGCATCTGGTCCTCCCATTCGAAGACGAAAACGGAGAGTTCTCCGTATATTCTCACGTCCGGAAGTCTGAGAATACATAAAACTAATTATGTTCACAAACTTCCAGGACATTTCTTGTTGAGAAAGCTTGTCAAGGAGAACAGACTGGTCAACCAAATCGAATGCGCCTTTGGAATCTAGGAATGGTAAAAATGTGGGTTGTTTACACGTACGACATTATTCTAGCGCCTGATGGAATGTGAAGATTTGGTAGACGCAGCCCCTACCAGGCCGGGATCCCGCCTGCTGCTCTTGGGTCAGTGTGTCATCAGACGATAAAACAAAGTGACGCCAACATTCTCCTTATGACCGTGGTCAAGATGATACCCTGGCGGTAAACACACTATAAAAAAGTCCTTCGTTGAAAATGGACGCCTCTCTCCAGTTGTCTGAAACGGTCTCCTTTTTTCGAATGCAGGAAAACAGATCAAACATGCGCTGACTGGGAACTTCATCCCATCTTTGAATAATGCGGGTGTGAGGTCATCCGGACCGGAAGCTCGGTGGCGCTTCAGAGAACATATGCTTCAGAACATATCTTTACTCAAGATGTTCATTCCATTCAGATCCCTGATGGTTTCGCTCGCCGGCGGATTCCAGGGGCTGGTCACACGGATCAGCTGAAATAATCTTCAGGCTTTCTGAGCCTCTCCAAATTCCTTAGCTTTCCGCGTCCATCAGAATTTGTGGTCTCTTACTTGATATCTGATAATTCGTAGCGTCAAGATATATTCGGGACTGGTTGGGATATTTCTCCGAGATCTAAGCCGTATCGCTGTTCGCTCTGATATCCAGTGTTTGAGTGAGTCTCGTAGCGGCAAAACACCTAGCATTGTGCAGAGGGGTGGAAATCACATCTCTGTATGAATTCACAGTTGGTAGTGACTCCAGATGATTCTAGTAAATTCGTCTAACATCCGAATCTTCCAGTCTCTCAGTTGCTAAGCGATTTCCCAGCACCTTACGCGGTCGTATAAACCGAAGGGAGAAGCGACTCCGAACGAGTGCTAAATCAGAATCCACAAACGTGTTCCAAAATGACCAGCAGTTACTTATTGATCCGCAGTATGGTCTACTCGAATTCGTGACCAGCATGCCGTTGGAGGACACCATGCGACCAGACAATTGCGGCTGTTTCGGAAGTTAGTAGTACGTAAAAACAGTCTGCGACCAGCACACAGCTGAAGCAATCGTTCCCCATTGTCTGTACCTAC